TCAATCCTCATTAACCCTAACCCATTAACTAACCCTAACCCATTAACTAACCCTAACCCCAGCTAAGGAAGAGAGCACAGTCAGAACAAACTGAAGAGTAAAAGTGAGTCAATCCTCATTAACCCTAACCCATTAACTAACCCTAACCCATTAACTAACCCTAACCCCAGCTAAGGAAGAGAGCACAGTCAGAACAAACTGAAGAGTAAAAGTGAGTCAATCCTCATTAACCCTAACCCATTAACTAACCCTAACCCATTAACTAACCCTAACCCCAGCTAAGGAAGAGAGCACAGTCAGAACAAACTGAAGAGTAAAAGTGAGTCAATCCTCAAACCGAAACATGTGCTGTTTTACTACACTTTTTTTTAACAGCAAAACCCTACATTTATCTTAGTCATCATATTCAAAAAATAGAAATCAGAAATGTCAGCTTGCTTAAAAAAGCCAGGAACCTAATAGGTTTCTCACAGACCACCTACCACAGGAAAGAGATGGACATAAAGTGATGACCATGGCATTTCATTTTCCCCTCCTTTTACAAACACATATAGATTAGTAACACTACACACATGGATTATACGCAGCCTACAAACTCTACCTTGTGATACAACCGGTTGTTTTCCCATTCTAACAATTTCTGAATGGATCTTCTTGTCTGTTAGAAGGAGAACTGGAGTTAATTATCAGGAAGGAGTAATTTTCCACATACAGTCAACACAGTTAGTATGAGGAGCCGATGAGTCGTTTAGGAAGCGCCACCTTGCTAGCTGCATTCATAAAAACACAGCAGTCCGCAGCAACCACCCATTACCACCTAATAACTTGATTATTTTTTAATGCATCCAAGGCTGAATGAAGAGGTATTTCCAGCTGGATGGAGGCCGGATGCTCGGCCCAGGGGACTAGGCCTAGGGATGAGGCCAGACTCGTACCTGCGAGACGAGGCCGGACACGGGAGACGGGGAAAAAGGCCCGGCACGGGGGACGAGGCCGGGCACGGGGGACGAGGACGGACACGGGGGACGAGGACGGACACGGGGGACAGGGGACGAGGACAGACACAGGGGCTGCGAGACGAGGCCGGACACGGGAGACGGGGAAAAAGGCGGGGGACGAGGACAGACACGGGGGATGGGGGACGAGGACGGACACGGGGGACGGGGGACGAGGACAGACACGGGGGACGGGGGACGAGGACAGACACGGGGGACGGGGACGGACATACCCTCTTGTTGAGGCAGATGACGGGCCAGAGGCTGCAGCCCACAGTGCAGCAACAGCACAGGCAGCCGCACAGCAGCCACTTGACGTTGACGGGCAGGTTCTTCCTCAGGCACGTGTTCACTCGGCCCATGCTCGCCTTGAACTCCTCGGGGGCCACCTGGGGCAGGGGGAGGAGAGGGAAGGTCTGTCATTCTGACATTTGGTGACACCAAATTCCTGAAACTCCTGGGGGGGGTGAAATTCTTACATTTTTCTTTAATAAGGTCCTTTGGAAGTTTGAAAATAACATGTAAACAAAACATTAAATTCAAATATTGTTTTAATACATTAAAAAAATATATATATATATATATATATTGCCTCAGTCCGCACCACACAAACCTGCGCTGCCCTTCAGTGCACTGAACCAAAAAAAAGGAAAAAAAAATCCAAAAACTGCAACCTGTATTCCTTCTTCAAGTCTCAGTTCCAGGAGATCAAAGGGGATTGTACTCTTCAAACAGACAGGTATACGCAGATGCTACTAAGATCAGATGAGAATCTCTAAATCCCATGCTTGTAACCTGCTGGCTGAGCTTTTGTCATCGCGGGGCAAAGGGAGACAAAACCGTAAGATAAGGACAGAAGCCCCTGGCTGTTCCCTCCACACCGCCTGAATAAATGCCCTTTACTTACTAGGTATGTACGCCGTAAAATGGGGGGTCGTAAGCTTTTATGACAGGATGCAATGGCCTTTCTGCACACAGCAAAAGCCTGCAGTATAAAGCTGGGTAGGTCTGATCTGAGCCTCTCAATCATTATAGGCCCGTCTCCATTGACCACGTCACCCAGGGTTCACAATTCTAGCAGCACATTTTATTGCCCGGCACTTCCCTCGGACAGCTAACCCCCACCAACAGCCTTTTTGTGCTGCATCCCTTCCCTTCCCTGTCCTTTTTTTCCTTTTAGCACTGGAAGGTCTTTCAGTCATTATTTCATCACCTCAGTGCTATATCCTCCCGTGGCTGGTTTTTTTTTTCCCGACCTGCGCGGGTTTACTTATTGACAGACCTTCATTTTAATGCTTTCTTTAAGATTCAACACTCCGGGATGCTTTGAAAGGTTTCCACCACAGAAGAGGAAACTGCTTCAAAAAAAAAACATCTGTTGAGACCTAAATAGGAAACTGAGAAATTCTGCCATGGTGAAAACTAAAGGACTCAATGACAATGAGTTGCATTTACATGTAAGGGATGCAGGACAGTAAAGGCTTTGATTTTCATAAAAAGACACATAACATGAGGCACTGGATTACCTTTCCTGTGAGAACAGAAGGGAATTCTGCATCAAATTTGTTGCTTAGGCCAAACCTGCAGATTAAAGACAAAAATGCCAAATAAAATCAGCCTGATGGACGAAGTAAAAGGGACATTAAAAATTAGCTGCATCTCACACAAACATACAAATGCTACTGCCGATTAATGCATTTCCCTCCTTAAGAATGAGTTGCACTGTATCTCTGGTCTATGTGCAAGAAATGTTCAACATTTTTCTTTTCATCATATTCAGTACTGACTGGTTCTACATTTCTGCATATGTCTATTGTTTTGTATATTTAGTGTCTGTCCTGTGCTGCCTTATGCTGTCTTACAGTCTTACTTAGTGAAATTTTGTTGTAATATCCATATGTTGTCTAAGTGCTCTTGTCTTTTTATGTCTGCACATTGAGCCTGGAGATACACAATTTCGTTCAGCTATGCATCCGTTGTTGTACTGCTGTATGGTGTGAATGACAATAAAGTTCACTTACTTTAAACAAGCAAGAATGCTCATTCATTGGAATTTATTGCATATATGTTGCTATAATGCAAACTAAAAAAAATTAGAAAAGTAAAAATGCAAGAGAAATGGCTACAACTGCCTAAGTTAAAGCTTTCTAAGCAATCCACCAATCCATTATAATACCTCTTGGTCTTTAAGCAACCAAGAAGTAACAGAAAGCCACTTGTTAATATAACATCATACGCATTAAATTTCTCGATTTAATTACATTATATGGCTGATTAACATTGTCATTTAACGCATTACCAAATATTACATGCAATGCATGAAATATTTTAATCAGCATTAAGACCATGCAATGCAATGCTGACTTGACTGTGTACAGCATACCACTTAGGAAAGGCTGAAATAAGTTCACATCATGAAAATGGACAGAGAGGTAGTTTATTTACAATTATCAAAATAAAATCGAATGCAGATATCCAATTAAATATTGTAATCACTCAGGAGGTATTGCAGACAAATCCCAGGGGGTTTGAACCTATATACTGTTACTCTGATATTTTATCAAGAAGGTGAACTATTAATTCATGTATGTGACGCCTGAACCAAAGATTCAGCGCACGTCAGCTGTAAGTTCACGGGCTAAACAAAGTTTCCCAAGGAAAACGGAGACAGATCTCAGCGCAAAGGCAGGGCGCCTGACGTGGACGCGGACCTGACAGACGGGAAATGGGGACTGAATGTATGAATCTGTAAACATGTTCGTCAAAAAGGTAGAGGTGCCTTTTTTGCGGTATCAAACCTCCTCCAAAAGCTTACTGGGAGGGAAACGGCTACTTTGCTCTCGATGCTACCGTTAATTACACGGAGACTGAGACTACTCGCCAACCTCGAACATTTTATGAGAATGAGAGTTTAAAACAATCACAAAACCTATGCATAGTGTATTTTAAAACGTTATAACGGAAAAGACGTATTTTCCAGCACTTAAACCGCATTTAGGCTAGGAATGTAGCACTTCGGCTAAATTGTATTTGCGGTTCCTTTGTTCCCTGTTTGCATTTGAGTTGTCGACACCAAATTTGCAAAGCACTGGTACGGTTACCCACTGCACGGGGGGCCCGCTGTCAGCTACAAGTTCCCCCAAAGGTTTGGCTTATCCAGATACTAACTTGCAATCCCCTTAGCCATAACGGCAGGCTAACTGGCACACTTCTGAGCGTAACTTTGGAAGATATCTTTCCTACCCAAGCAGACTGAGCTCAGTGACAACAAAGCGGGTATTTGCTTTCCACCACGGCTCCCGTGTCTGCCGACTGCCCTGCCCGCCTTTGAGCTAACGGAGAGTTGCAGTGTCTGGCTGACGGCCCGGCCTACACCCACAACACAGCCAAAACAATCGGCACCAGCAGCTAAGTGATTAATATCGGCGACGTGCAGCTTGTTGTGCTCCACGGGGTGGCTTACACAGTGATGTGGCCGGCCCCCCGCATAACCACCGGTTCAGGGCAGTATCTGGGCAGGTGCTCGTCGCTCACTACCCGCTCGTCGTCTTCGTCCAGTTCATAGATGGTGTCGAAATCCGCCATGTTTGGCAGTAGGACGGTCATGACGTAGCCCGCGCTGCATAGACGTAAGGCGCGCGGCGACATCCGCCGGCGCTGACGGGCGGTGCGCGCCGCGCAGCTTCACCTGCAGAATCGTACCTGACTTGCAGGTAATGTGACGTTATTTGCACAACTTCTGTGCACTTGGTCGGTATAAAATTATCTTTCCTTAACCTCCTTTGTGAGGAGCGTAAGTTTGTATTAGCAGCATTGCGATTTTTGTAAACAAAACACAGAAGGGAAATCAATGTTGCATTAAAAGGTAGGTTATTTATACGCATATTACAAAGTAAGCGCGAGCTTTCTATTTTAACCATTTTATTATTCCATACAAAAGTAAATTAATCAACACATTTTGGACACAAGTTAAACAACAGATACAAAGCCAGTGTAATAACCCGACAATGTTCAATGCCTAAAATTATGGCTTGAGGTTTAAAGGAAAGTCAAGAGCTTCATTAAGAGCTGCCCTTACGACTGTCAATGGGAAGGCACGATTGATTAAAAAGACTTATGTTTACAAGACATTTTCACAGAATATCTAATGGTGTCTGGTTGTATGAGAAATTGAAGAATAGAATATGTTAAAAATGATTTAAAATATACATGTGAACGGGGATGGCAGTTGTCAGCAAACTTTGATCAAGCAAATCGACATTTTCTAAGTAGTCATAATAGTCAGCTAACCGTAGCTTTGCAGTCTTGGTAATACACTGCTCTCTTAACAGTACTGTAAAATGCTAAAAGTAATGTTTTAAAGACATTACACACTGTATTTGAACAGTCTTACAGATGTTCCATTTTTTTGAAAATAATCACAAATATTTTTTCAAATAATGACTATTTATTTCGTATTTTTTCTGTGAAACCTGAATAGCTGTTATGTGCAAACTATTATGCCAACATTTCATCCACAAAGTTCTTCAGAAATTTTACAAAAACATGACAAATACAACTAAGTGTAGAGCCATGACTATGAGGTAGTGCATGTTAGGGAACTGCACAAATGAATGTATATACTAATCTATACAGTTATGGGTAACTTAGCAGCACTTAGGAAAAGATCCCTGTATATTAAAAGCAAAGCTTGTTTTTAAATATGGCACAACATACAGGTTTCTTTGTGCAATTAAAATCAATATGATTATGCACTAACAGGTGCAATACAAATGATTGCGGTTTAAATATTAACCACCGATTTACCATTAATGTCATTTGAAACAGATGTTTTCAAACTACGTGAAACATAGTTAACTGATGGTTCATTACTGCACTGCTTATTTTTTTGCCAGACTGTCTTATCAAAGAAACAGTGACTGAATGTAACGAGTTCATTTCGTATTTAGTGCAAAAGACATTGTTTCAATTCCAAAGAATAACACACGCTAATCATCACCTGATGGTTTGCATGTATTTAACTTTTTTTGTTGACTGTAGATCTAGCTGGACCATTTTCCTGAACTTGTGTGTTTAGTTGTGTGTGTCTATATGGTGAACCATTTGTGCAATACAGCTTTCCAAACAATTCCAAACATCATGACCTGGATCTACTGTGGGAATGGCTTCCATACTGGCAAGACGAGCTCCCAGTACATGCAGATGTACCTGGCCAGTAAATTGAATTCTAATTCAATTTAAGTCTGATGCGATTGACAGTAAACATTAAAACTGTATCCTCTATATGAAAAATACCTGAATGAATTATTTTAATTTAAACAGCATAACACCAAAAATATACCAAACCCAAACATGAGCAGACATTAACATATATAAAACACACCAAAAATATCAAGTTAATTAGAAAGAAATTCATTCGATATTGTGAAGAGCATCCAGCATTAGATTTTTGGTAATCGGACAGCGTATCAGGCCAGTCAGCACTGTATTCCTCTAAGCAAGTCTTGAATGATATGACTCCATCTTCGCAGTGTTGGACCACGGGCTGAGGTCTGCTGTCCAGTGTCTTCTCAATGTGTCAGAGTGCTCAGTTAAATTAGCAGTTCCAAGTTAGAATTTATTTGGCTTCTACTGAGTAACGGTGACTTGCTGTAAATTCCCAATAGACTGTACATTGTTCATTCCTGAAGGTGGATAGAGGGAGATGTGGATTTCAGAAGGGCTCAGTGATGGACGCACTGGAAGCGGGCTGACAGAGCCAGGGTCACTGCGCAGTGAGCTGCCATTGCTGTCGCACTGGCTCACATTCCGTTTGATTAATTTTCTCTCTTTTGCTCTGCGATTTTGAAACCAGATCTTTACCTGTAGAAAGATACAAAGTTACTGCAGCTATATATAACTAACTATATATTAATATATATATATATACACACACACATGCACATATATATACACACACAAATATACACACACACATGCACATTTAAAGCACATATTCAAACAGCAGCATTTGTCATATTGAAAAAAATATTTTTTCTTTCCTGTCTGTCACCTATTGTGATTCTTAGAAGATACATGGATGAAAAAAAATGCAACAAGTTTATTAATGATTGCTGTGCCAGGTTTATGAATGTTATAAGGCTGAGGAACATCCTGGATGAAATGCCCATCCATTATTGCAGAGTATGCGCACACATAGATATACACATAGACTTGCATACCATTATTTATGTCTCTTATATATGTTGTAGCGGCATACCTGTCGCTCTGAAAGTCCAAGATTAACTGCCAGTTCCGATTTTCGTCTGATTGTGATGTATCGATTATAATGGAACTCCTTCTCTAATTCCAGTCGCTGGTGGTCAGTGTAAACAACTCTGTACTTCTCCTTCGTCCTTGTTTTACCTATTAGGTAAGAACAAAACTTCTTTTAAGCAAATTAGATACAGAAAAGCTTTAGATAAAAAGCTTTACATTACTAAACGCACAACCCACAAGAAATGTATTTCTGTTAATGCAATATAGACATGTATTTGCAAAGGAGATTTTAAACTGTTTATTTAATATTATACATCGAATTAAAACAAGCCAAGACAACATAGTAGTCAATACCTAAGAGATCAATTCTTCTTCCCATTCAACAAATAATGTTTTGCTTCTTTTGCATGGATTCCTTTACTTTATATACAGTAAATGACGGTTTTCCTGAATGGTCGTATTTTCTCTGCAAATTATACAGTTATATCTACAGAGAAGCCGCCACAACTGTGTTAGGCAAAGACAAAATACATACAGCACACAGCATTTTTATTCGGTGATTATTTTCTGTACACAAATGTTCTTACCTACAACTTGAGATGGATTGGCCATTCGGAGTACTGGGAGAATCCCACTTTAATTTTTATTTAAAATAAATTCTAGTTTAATTTACCTATCCTTGCAAGTCTGAGAAAACGATTCGAAACACATTACAAATTCATTCTTTATTCTTCTATACCATTTGTTCCATTTAAAGAAATATGTGCTAAATATTTACTACTGTTATGATTCATTATTTTCTCAGTCACGTAAATAGTACATTATGTTGTAATTAAGAAAGTTCTACCATTTTACCAGCTGACGTCATTGCGGTCAGCCTTCTCTCACAGTACAGTTTTACTAGAGAGTTCCCCAAGGTCCTCTGACTAAATGTAATACCATGGGTATGTTTTAAATCTCTTTAAACGTTTATATTTATTAGTAACTTAGTAAAGTAGGAAGGAATAAAGTATATACATTTATGAATATATAATATATACATTTAACGGAAAGTAAAAATCGAGCCGTAATATTATAATAATTTCTTTGAAAGATAAAACGGCGCGTGGCCCTGATCACTATATATTCACGGATTTTTTATTTTTATTTTCGGGTAATTCTGTGTTTTCAGTCGGCGGAATAAAGGCGTTTATTTTTTTCTATTCAAGATTTAACGGAATTCTTCATTCCGATTCAAACATTCCTCTGACTGTTTAAGTCTGCAGTTACTCAAGATATTTCACTTAGTGAAACACATAAAGTGAAATATCTTGTAATTTTTCCAAATTAAGTGCATTTCTGCGCAAAGGGACAAACATGTGAAAACTTTGAAATACTTTGAACAAGTAGACGTACTTCAGAAAGCACACATTGACCATTTAAGCTAATGAATCACATAGACTGCATTGTCGCAGATATATATGCATTTATTTTTATTTGATTTATATACATTTATTTCTATTGAATTTATTTTTCTATTTATTGGGTTTATTATATACTTCACAGAAACGTATTTAGTAATAAGTAAACATAAATCCTGTTTTACAGAAAGACGAATGACACGCGTACAGCCTACATTTTTTTTCCAATTATCTAAAATGGAAATGAAAAGTTTTTGCCTGTTGAGCGAAAGTGAGTTCTATGGCTATTTCATGTAACAATTAATAATGATAGTTAATGGCACTAATTTCACATTTGGACGCAGATGCATTTGATACTTCGGGAGCAGAATACTCGCCTGTCGACGTGGACTGCACCGTCTTGCGCATCCACTGGTACGAATTGCGCCGCTCTGTATCCGGGGAGTGCTCCGTGTCTGCAGTGTTTTCCTGCCCTGGATGTAACGCTGCGGATCCAGGAGGGTGCATAGAGGGATAGTCTTGAGAGCAAAAGGAAACCTGTCCTGGCGATAAGCTGTTCATAGGCGCAGGTATACTGTTTGGGGGCCCGAGTCCGTACGTCCCCCAGTCTTCCCTCGGTGCTCCGTAAGAGGGGGTCCAGGTCCCCGAGGACTGAGAGTGGCAATCCATATTGGGTACATGATGATATCCCGTATAATCGGCGTACTGCGGCGTGGACACAAAGTTCTGTGGAGGCATATTGATGCTGGATCGTCTTACGGTTCCTTGGTGGTACATGGTTCCTTCTGTTTCCAAAAGGTATCCCACGTACATGACTCACAAATATGTAATTTATGGCGACATAATGTTTGCGGAAAAAAAGATATGGGTGAAATGTCTCCTGAGTCGATAATTTAGACGGAAGAAGCTCTGTATTGTCCACTGGAAGTTCCCAAATCGGCGGTTATGAGACCTACTTCCTGACGCGCCTCAGTTGCACATGATTAAGCTAGTTGACAAGGTGCCGGTGGCAACGGTATACCAAGTCTTACCTGACGTCAGACGAGTTCTTAGATCTAAGACATTTGCATTCAAATAGACTTCTAAGGCTGCCAAACACAACTTGCGGCTGCCCCAACCCCTCTTTGCGCATTACCCAGTGCGCATTCAGTGCACAGTGTTTCACAAAAATGCGCATGAAACGTCGTGCATCTAAAACTTCTGGCTCTCAGTTAAATGACCATGACTAACAACTCGTTTAGGTAGTACCATTCATGTACGAAACCGGATCCTGCAATAATAAAAGAACGTGAAATATGCCAGTTACTATATAGCGTATATGTCGTTGCACATTTAAAAGAATTCAACCTTGGCTGTTGCACAGGCGCTCGCCGTATTTTAAACTTAATTGCTTTAGTGTGATGTTAAAATGTTTAAACGTTTTCCCAATGTTTAAGTGCAACAAATACGTGCATACAAACGTTGACCTATGTGTAAGAACGACACTGTCATCTTAATATTTGCATGTATTTGCATGTATTACGCAAGTTTTAAATGATATAAAAAGGAAAGTTAGTGTGCTTTCTCTTCCATATTAGTCTTTATGGTCGGTAAAAAGTTCCTAGTATGGGAACGTGGCATTTCCACACTCCCAGTAAACGAGTCATCCGATAAACGCGAGTGTATGTTAGTTATTTTCGGGTCAAAGAGGTGCAAACTGTGAAGCGACTTCTCTTGTCGCGAACTTTTCACATTCACATTAATTCACACTTCGACACTTGGGAGTCACACTTCACAGCTAATTCCGGTTGAAGGAAACCCTTGAAAGCCCATATGCACCCCAATCTTCTTCGGTACAACCCGAGAAATGAGCAAAACAAAATAAAGATATTTTTAGTAGCTTGAAAAACATGCGTTTATACCGATCTTAATAAACTTAGCGGACAGTATGCTTGTATTTAAATGTCCATTGCATTTTAAAATATATTTTCAAACGGTATCCAGCAATACATTTCTAAACAAAATATATTAAAATATATGTAGTTATCCAGCAAATAATTGTCGAGCCAGATTATTGTTTTGGTTTGATATGATTTTTCATTGCATTAGTACTTATAACCTATTTGATCACTTCCGTCAAATGCACTTTTTAATCTCTTGCTTGTCTGGAACAATGAAACCTGTAAATCTTTGCGGGCGTCTTCTCTTGACGCTAGAAGGAGGCCTAACGAAGAACGCCAATTTGATAGTTTATTTCAGCTAAGATGATGTTATGGTGAGAGATACACATGTAACTATATTTGAATTAAAATAATAAAAACCTAATACACGTGGTATGTATGTTTTATTGTCTTAGACGATTATATATTTTTTCCCACTGTCTTTATTTTGACTAACACATCGCATACCATAACCGATGTTTTACCAATCAAATTAATAGAAAAGATGCCGTTGTCTATCTATTAAAGATATTTAGTACAAGTGTTTTATGTGTCGAACCATAAACCGATCAGTGTCATTCTGTCTGGCCTCCAATAACTTTAACAGTAGCTTTTCTCCTGCCTTTCCCGTCATCTGTCGTAAAATTTGACGATTTTAAATTAAACTATCAAAAGAAAAATCGTAGCAGCAGAATGCCGTAATTATCGTAATTATTGGGGGGAGTGTGCGCCTCTGCGGGTTTGCCCCCTGTACTGGTGACAAGAAAATCGCTGGTTCACATGTCAGGGTCGGCAAAACGCTCGTTAGCACGGCCTTTAGCCCCCAACTGCTTCAGGGACTAGCTGATCCTGTTTTGTAAGTTGTACGCTCCTAAAAAACTAAATGTGAATTATCTACTATGTTCTCAGGTACTGATTTAACCAGTTGTCATGGTGTTTTTAATTGGCGCCGTGTTGCCCTCTACCGGTCAGATTATGATCCGTTCAATCCAGTCTCTTTCGAAACTGTTGCTCTGCTTCCCCTTAGCGGTTACTTTGCGAAATTGAAAATTCATTCACGTTTGTTGCAACTAAAAACACAAATTGCATAGTTATAAATACACAAATTACATCTCTCCACATAAACATATGTACACTCACCTAAAGGATTATTAGGAACACCATACTAATACGGTGTTTGACCCCCTTTC